CCCGCGGTAAGTTACTGCGTCATGCGTCATCAGAGAGAATTGCAGTAAGAATACAGAATACAAGCTCGCGCTGAGGCTCACTCTGTTTGTCTCGAGACTTCAGAACAAATGAGCGTGACAGCACACATAAACTCAGAAGAAACACTGAGGTAAAAATTCTAAATTTTTTGTTTATTCATAACATGATATAGTTTAGTAACACCATGACAAGTGAGCTATTTTGCTCAATATTCTCACGACGCAAAAAAAACCATTCAAAACACCTACAGAGTGCATGCATTACGTGAAGTCTAGTGCGCATGCGCATTTACAGTGTGCTCTAAATATTACATATATGTATGTAATAAAATGTGTACTTCCATTACAGGTTTAGGTCTTAAGTTTCATATAAGGTGGTATTAAAAAGGTCTTAAAAAGTCTTAAATGTAACTTGTTCATGTCTGCAGAAACCCTGTTTATAGAGAAATCAGTATTGGTATCATTGATACTGGCCTTCAGTCATAAAAAAAGATGCCATTAAACAAGTATTTAAAAATATCCTGTCTTTATGTTGTTTGTACATTAATTTGAAGATTGAATGTGTAATTATCGCAATATAAAAGTATATTTAAAAACTTTAATGTTAGGTGGGATTAATCGCGATTAATTTCAGAAAAATGTGCGATTAATTAGTTTTTTGGGTTTTTTTTCCGATTGACAGCACTAATACATATAATATGTATTGTATAATCGAGTTAATGCAGGCAGTTAATTTTTTCAGTTTAATGCATTAAAAATATTTAACGCAATTAACGCAGGGGCGGAGCTAGTGTTGGCCACCCCACTCACAACTGCTGCTTCTGTCTCTTTTTTTTTTGACAAGAATTGCATTTATTTAGACGCAGAACATCTTTACGACCACATAAAACGGGAGACTTTTCAGACACCCGTTTCAACTTCACCTCTGCACCAGGCTCGCGAGTCAAACGACGGCGGAAAAGCAACTGTGCTCATAGCGGGTGCTCTTTCAATTGCACGAATAAATGCGCTGGTGCGCACTGTAGCCTGTATCGTTTCATATCAAAGCATGAAAGAAATGACGAGCATGTAATGTCGAAGTTATGTCGTCAGTTAAGTCATGTAGTTACCAAAAAGGCAATTAAAGCTGCCTTAATACTGTGCATGTATGTAAGTATTTGTTATTAAATAACATTTAAGAACATGTCTCTGAAATTCAGTGGTTTTCAAAACTGTCCTGGAGCAGCCCAGAACTGTCTCCCTCATCTAATACACCCGATTCAACTCGTCAGCTCATTAGTAGAGACTTCAAGACCTGAGGTGGGTCAGAATAGGTAAAGAGATGCGTGTCAGATCTGCGTCATGTTCAGCAGCAGCAGCTCCTAAAGTAATAGTAGCCAAAAAACCTAATAACCCAGCTGCTGTGATGTCTGTTAATCAAATAACAAAAGAAAATAAGAGGAAATCAATCATTTTTATGCCTCTAAGGATTCATCTATTTAATTTAAAATTTAGTGTTTGATAACTTTATTCAATTTCTGTATATTTCCTACTTGCTGAAGGGCACATGTAGCTAAATATGACATTTATTATAAGGGGTTTATGTGATGATTTTTTTTAAGTTCACATAAATTAGAAGTTATTTTAAGTAGTCTAATACATTTTCAAATTGATAGCTCTCAGTTATACTGTGATGTTGAATGGCTAGTCAATGGTTAAATATTAGGGGGGAAAAAACTATTTAATAGAGACATCAGTAGTATTAGTATCAGTGATACATACTGGCCTTCAGTCATAAAAAAAAAGATGCCATTATACAAATATTAAAAATATACCGTCTTTGTTGTTTGTACATTAATTTGAAGATTGAATAATAATATAATTAATTCATAAATATAAAGGTAACACTTTACAATAAGGTACCATTAGTTAATGTTAGTTAATGTTATTGTAAACTGTAACTGTAAACGTTTATTACAGTATTTATTCATCTTTGTTAATGTTAATGAAAATACAGTCGTTCATTGTTAGTTCATGTTAATTCACAGTGCATTAACTAATGTTAACAAGCACAACTTTTGATTTTAATAATGCATTAGTAAATGTTGAAATTAACATTAGCTAAGATTAATAAATGCTGTAGAAGTGTTGTTCATGCTTAGTTCATTTTAACTAAATTAGTTAACTAATGTTAACTAATAAACCTTATTGTAAAGTGTTATCGTTTTGCCTATGTATTAATTCAAACTCTTTTGGATTAATGTTTTAGAATTGCATCCTGTAGTTAACCAAGATCACATTTATAGCAGGTTTGTATCTATGAGGTCCAATTTTAATTTACTGAATGTTCATTTACATTTACATTTAGCTTACTCTGTTACATTTTAGTGTTATTAGAATCTTGAAGGTTTTTCCTGTATCACCCTCTCAAATTTCTTATGTAAATCACCTAGCTAGAAGACAAAGGATTGTAACATTTCCCTCCGAAAGTGCAATTCCTCATTGTCTCTCTCATCTCCTGAGGGTGTGAAATCTCTTCTTAGAGATTTCTTCTTGGAGAGATACTTTTTCGAAGAGAGCCTCAATGAATTGCATCAGGACACTCTTTCAAACAGGCGAGATGTGCAAGTATCAAACTTAGTCTCATTACTTGATAATTGACGATGACATCAGTATGTACAAACATTTGTCCCAAATAGTTGTTAATCTAATTTAACTATGTGAGTGGCATGGCAGGATTTTTGAACAGTTTCTAAAGTCGTAGTTGGACACCACCAACAGATTGCTGAGTGGTGTGGCCGGTGTGCGTATAATGTGTTCAATATTTAAAGATGTGGCACTTCTTGCCCAGTGTTAATCTTGAAGTCTCCTAGTTAGAGGACATAATTTAGGAACCATTACCCGCCAAATGTTACCCGTCATGGCTTATTTTCACCCTCATTTGGCAAGTTGGTGGCTGTTAAGTTCAAACCCTGTCTGCAATGTCTATTTTAATGTGTCAAGGTGCTGCCTCAAAGTCAGGGCGGGGTGGACATGGACAAAAAGGATCTCTCTCAAGTGCACCGACAACCAAGTCAATAATGGATGGTGAGATACAATCACACCACACCACTGAGACACATCTTATGATGTAATCTTCTGTTGTGGTTCCCATAAATATTGCATTCTTGGATGAGGATGCAGATTTTACTTTTTATCTGTTCATGCTCCTGAGATGCAAGTGACGGAAGGTGATCAAACCTTTCCATGGTTTCCATGAAATTTTAATGGCTTTCATATGAACTCAAACTAGGCTTACAAACATCTTATCTTTTCTTATCTGTTCCATTCCTGTGTTTTTGATGGTGCAAAATTTAATGTGTCTGTACTGTGTTCCAAATTTAACTGTAGCTCAGGTGTTGTTTTTGTGTGTGTGTGTGTGTGTGTGTTTGTGGACTGTTGGTGTTTTAAGTGATGAATCAATAGTTATGTTTCATAGTGAAAATGTCAGTCAGTGATTAGCATCTTTCTTTGAATAGAAAGAGAGTGAATGGTGAAATTCTTTGTTTAGAATAATATTTTTTCTTAAAGAAGAATTTATTTTATTCACAGCATTCCAGGCTTCAAGCCAGAGGACCTCTCGTGGAAACACACCAAAGTCGTATGCTGAAGAGGTACACTCACATACCCCTGAATATATCTCTGCATGTCTTAGGCCAGAGATGGTGCGATTTTTGCTGTCATATGAGCTCGTAAGCATTTTATCAGGCGGGAGAACAAGTCAATCATTGATGCTCTTATGGTCGCGGCTGGCATCGTGTGAGAGGAATTACAAGCCAAGCCGAGTACCTTACAAGCAGCTCCCAAGCTCTCAGTTATTTTTTAACATGCTGAAAAAATTCAGGATTTGACCAGGGTATAGGTTTTCCTCTTTTCCCAAATCGTACACTGACATAGCACATAGGCTTCTAGCAACCATATAGCACGGCCACACACACACTCACACACACAAATAGGATATCTAGTTTTGTTGAATCGAATGACCATGCTGTTCTCTGCTGTTCACCAAAATATATGATTGACATGATTATCAGGTTAACTTACTTGAAACGTGTACAAGGGCTCAACGACCTCCACAGTGTCAGTATATGCCCCGGTTTAGATTGTTAAAAACTAAATAATAATCCTGTTAACCCTGTTTTTTCAGACACAGCCACACAATGTTGACAGAAAGAATATATTTTTCCAACATATGTACAAAATCATAAATTCCACATGCACATTTTTCATGCATCCACATGCACAACCTACTTTATTAGTCTCTCTCTCACAAACAATAATTTGAGTCCATATGCATTCTTACAATTTTTATTTGTTATTCAAGCTGTGTGGTCTATAACAGTTTATTCTGTTTTATCTTGTTTAACAGAACAAATCCATCTCCTTTTTAAACACTTAAGCTTAAAAACATATTTTTTATCTACCACATTAGAGGTTAAGCTGGCAACAAGATTGACCTCATAAGCAAACAGCAAACTGTTTTGCTTTAGTTTATATTTTTTTCTGGCATGCTCAGATAAACAAAATGAATGTATTCCAAATCTATATGACTTTCTGTCTTCTACTGAACATAAGAGAAAATATTATATATAATGGAAATTAATGGTCACCAAACAGGTTTGTTTACCACTTTTCTTTTTTCTTTTCTTTTCTTTTTAAATTGTTTTAGTTATGAAGTAAAGTTTTGTTTAGTTTTGAAGTTTTATTAACAAAGACAGAAGAAAAAAATGAAACAAAAACAAAAATAAATAACTGGACTGCCTCAGGCTGTTAGAAATTAGTGTAAATAAACATAAAAAAACAGTATTCACAATTGTTTTATGAACAAGAGAAATGTACACTGGAATGCAACTACACAGTATGAAAAAAGGAAGAGGATTACAGAATTAGATTTTCCCCATTTTTCCGCATGTGGCTTCAAATATTTTTTTGTTTTTTTTTGTTAGCTAAGCTCACTAAAATGTAGCCATGCCATTTGAATAATATAAAGGACTTGTGAAGATTTCCAGTTATGAAGTATTACTTTTTTTGGCTGCATTCGTGCCTGCTATTAGAGCCTGCTGATGGGTAAGGGGGAGATTACCCATCAGATCAGAATATCCGAAAATAGCCAGATTGCGGTTAGATTAAAAGTCTATTATCTATGTTCTTGAAAGCAATTCAAATATGTTCAACCAGAAGTCATACAAAATAGGGGAAAACCAAAATAAATGTGCCATTGTCCCCTCAGCCATCCTGCACCTATCACATTGAGTATAACACATTGTATAACTTTAGTCAGGACATGGACTTTTTTTTTAAATATATTTCAATATGCTCACTTGTAATGTTAACAAGTTCACTTGTAATGTCAACAGTTTTTGCTCCATATATGTATATATATATATAGAGAGAGAGAGAGAGATATACATAGATATAGATATATTATTTTGAACCTCTGTCTGAAGTTATCTGTTTTGATATTTGACTGGTGCAGGCCATCTGATGATTTTATATTGTGATCTTTTATGTCCTCATAATTATATTAAAACTACTGCAATGACTGCCTAGATGGTTGTGCTTACTGTCCGTGCAAGATGTGCATTTGTGGTTAAAAAGTATATAATTCTTTTTTTTTTTTAGAAAATGACCGATCGTTTCGCTATATAAGACCCCTTGTTCCTCGGCTGGGATCATGTAGAGCCCTTTGAAGCTGCATTGAAACTGCAGTTTGGACCTTCAACCCATTGGCCACCATTAAAGTTCATTATATGGAGAAAAATCCTGGAATGTTTTCCTCAAAAACCTTAATTTCTTTGCGACTGAAGACAGAAAGACATGAACATCTTGGATGACATGCACTCAAAAAATAATTCATTGGATGAACTCAATTTAATTGAGGGCAGGATTTACATCCAATAAATTTGTGTATCCCCAACTCATAAAAACAAATTCATGCAAATAAATAGTTGGTCCAACTCAATTTGATCAAATATAGTTTAAATGAAATTGATACATTTATGAAGTGATTTTTTTTTTTTTTATGCTTGTTGAACTCAAACTAAAACATTTAACTGGAAAATAAATTATTAGGCAGAAATCCTTCTAATTGTGTTCCCCCTATAGAGATGAGAGACAAATAAAAAAATGTTTTAATTTAAAACTCAAAAACAGGTGTACAATACTGTACTATTGTTTACTGTAAAAAAAATTATTAAAACTTTGAAAAATTATTTAACAATGTTGTTGTGACGGGGAAAGTACACATTTTTAACATTTTAAACATTTTATTTAAACATCAGTCTGAAAATTTGCCTTTGTCTGCATGAGCAGCACATGAACAGTCTTTGGAAAGCCAAAGTCAAGTACTTTTAATAAGAAGTCTATTAACAATAAGTCAAAATAAACTTGACCATCAATAATAAAAGTAACATACATGTATGGCCTAATCACTTCTAACTCAAAACTACTAGACTAGACCTGGACTAGAACCACTAACTAGAAATACAGTACATGTATTGTTTCTCTATTTTCCTGTGAAAAAGGCATAAACATCACTGTACTTTTTGTGTGCTGAGGTGTGTGTGCGAGCACATCAGTTTATAAACTATTCAACAGTGGCGGCTCCTGCCAATTCTCTCAGGGGGGGCAAATGTTTGCATGATTAATGATAATTGATAAATTAACGGCTAGTTAAAGATGTAAAGGAAACGGAACTACTATAGTATTAATTAAAAATGAACTGATTCTAACAATCAGTCTCTTGCTCCCCTTATGTTTCTATATGCGTGTTAACACAATTCAGCAGCAAATGAAGACTGAAGCCAGGATGTGGTTTTCCAAAAAACTTTTTACTTCAATTTCAGTTTAATAATAATTGAAGTCACATAAATCACTATTTACACAACTCACTTATATTACACTGCTCATTTACAACATTACTCACATTACACTGCTCCCTTACATTACTCACTTACACTGCTCACTTACATTACACTGCTTACTTACATCACATTGCTCACTTGTATTACATTACACGTTTTTTTGTTTGTTTGTTTGTTTGTTTTTTTCTTTTTTCACATTTGATAAATATATTAAAGTAGTTTTTCATTTTTTCTTGTTGTTAAAATTCAAAATAGTTTTTAAATATTATTGGATGTCACTGTTCCCACCAATCCTTGCACAAGTTAAGGTTACGCATGATGACGAAAGCACGTTAGTGCTAGCCCTCCCGGAACTCATAGAGATTGCATTGCAGTGCCTGCAGTTCGAAAAAAATTATCTGTGTATGGAAGTCTATGGGAGCACTCGGGGCGATTCTCAGTCTGACAGAAATCGCCCAAAAAGGGGCGGTACTACACAAAACGCGACTCGATGCTGATTGGACTATTTAGAGGCAGAACAAACAGTGAAAGCTAGCGTAACACTGTGGTTGAATGTGAAAGAAAAAAAATCCCTCCCTTTCGCGCTTTGGTGGTGCGTCGCCCAATCGCCCTAATGGAGAAACCGCTCCTGCTATTCAATATTGCTCAGAAACAAGAAAAACATCAGAAATAAATCATGAAGGCATCAGCATACAATGTATTATATAGCTGCACATAAAACATGTGGTAATAATTGTTGCCATTGTTTTTTTTTGTTAGTTTTTTGTGTGTGTATGTGTTGATGTAGAAATCAACACAATGCTCAATTCCCAATATAATGTATGTAAATGAGACCGAACAGCATGATGAATGCCAAGATCACACAGTCTAGGCTTAGATATCCTAGGTACTACTAAAAGTCCAGAGTTTTGTGACCTTAAAGAGCGTGATGGATTGTAGGGCATAAGAAGATCAGTTAAATATACATGAGCTAAACCATTTAGTGCCTTATAGGTCAGTAGCAATATTTTGAAATCAATACGGAACTTAATAGGTAACCAGTGTAGAGATGATAAAATTGGGGTAATGTGATAGATTTTTCTTTCACTTTCTGAATCAATATAGATTACGCTTGTCCTGCCTAAATGTGACTTTTGTACATGTTATTTCCATTTTTTCTTTTATCACCACTTCATTGTCACGCCTTTTCGCTTCTGACAAAAAAGCAATTCTCTAATCCGCCAAGCTTTCTGTGGATTCACCTTTTGGATGCAAAGGAATGTAGTTGACCTAAGCTTGTGCAATAATTTTGCATCTTGTACTTAAGTGACTGCTTCCATCCCCAAAATCCTGTCTTGCCCCAAACAAGGATGGACCCTAATTAAAGCTGCTGCTACCTCTTCACACATGTAGTCTTTAGAATATTTTGTGTATTTGATCATTTCTTGGGCCAGGCCATCCAGAATGATACATTTCAGCTTTGGACCAGAGTTAAAGTATGTCGTATTGGCCTCAATATCTGTTTTCTTTGTTTAGCTCAAATTCTGCATCGTAGGCAAACTTGGAAACCACAAAAACTTTGGGCCATGGGGATAAACCTAAGGGCATTTCTGTAGATGAGTGAGAAGATATATACTGTGCATCATCATCGCAGGATGAGGCAAGTGATGAGATTTGTGGTTCAGAATCAGTAGTAGTCTCACTAAATTAATTTACAGGGCACACCGTGATGCAGGGCTCATTAATCTGGGGCTCCACAAGTAACCAGGCAG